ATACATACATACATACATACATACATACATACATATATATATATATATATATGGCATGACAAAACTACTTTCCTCAAAAGATTCGTTATCGAGACCTCACGGATGATACCTTTTCTTTGCAAAAATTGCTCAAAATTCGCTAGCGTTCGCCCAACCTGTTGGTCTGCGACAGCTCCACCGTATTTGCAAGCTATTGAAATTCATTGATTTCGACAATCTTTGATAACGACCTTTTTTTTTTAAATTTCGTACATCGATCCATTATATTATATTATATTATATTACATTAGCCCTCTCATTGGTTACTAAGTTCTCTTTTTGTTTTGGTTTGGTTTGGTACCAACTCTACATGATTGAAGCGACGCGAGCAAAAAAAAAATAAGAAAAGGTTCATAAATGATTAACCGGCTTTGTTATTTTATTATTATTATTATTATTATCATTGTCACACATACATATGAACATGCTTCCACATATAAAAGTACAATGTCATACACCCAAACTTATCCGAATTATACATATATATATATATAATTTGTAAAAAAGTTTAGAATTGATATAAGAAATGCCTTAAAATTTAATTCAAAACTTTCTAAACTTATAAATTTAATTTTATTAAATATAAAAAGTAATATAAATAATTACAGGGAACTAATATAAATACATGATCATTTAAAATGATGAATCTGAAAAAAGAAATATGAGGAGGAAATTTAGAAGTTTATGAATCTAATTTGTGATATGAAATTCCAAACTTAAAAAAATTAATGTGAAATTCAAATGAAATTGATATTGTTCTATGCTAAAAAAACCTAACAAAAATATAGAAATAGAAAGAAGTATTCAATACTTAGAAAATGATGGTATTGCTATATTAAAAAAGAATACGGCTAATATTTGTATGCTGATAGAAAGATAGAATGATTTGTTAAAAAAATCGAGTTTAAAAAGATTGCCATAGATTTTCTAGATTTAGTTTTGGATTTATATATATAAAAAGGCAACAAATTATTCATGTTAACAAAACGGTAACAAATTTGAAATACTAACAATATTTTTTTTTTAAATCTTTAACTATAAAGAATTATGAACCCTTAAAATTATTTCATATAGAAAATAGTTTAAAATAACTATAATTATTATTTTTTAAATTATGGACCCTTAAAAGTTTGGTCGTGCAAAAGAAGAAGCAAGTGAGAAAAGTTGCACTCCCTCTGTGAGTACTATATAATTAAAACGAGACGACCCTTGTAGATTAGTTGGTGTGAGAATTAATTACAGATGCTGCGAGTTTTTATAACATACATTAATACATCATATAAAAAAACTGAACATGTGAGTTTTCATTTGTGCTTTTTTTTTTTTTAAATTATCCTCTTAACGTAAAAATGGTCCATGCATACAGAAGCAGAGGGGCTATAAATATAGCTATTACGTATGTTAGTACACTGTACATGCGTATATATAGATACATACACACATAGAAAAGCCACGAGAAGAGTTAAAACAAGCGTGCTTACACCAACTGGGAGTGGATACAGACGTAGCTTTCGAGCTTTATACATGCATCACCCACATCACTCCCACTGCCGCACATGCATCATCGTCATATATATATATACAGAGAGAGAGAGATCCATGATGATGATGATGATGCTGATTGTGACCATGATGGCTCTGATATGTGTACCCATATGAACCCTAAAACATATATATATCCATGCAACACGCATCTTTATCTTAGGGCATAAAAAATGGGCAAAGATTTTTTTTTTTTTTTTGGTATGAAGGTGATTTGTATTATATATCAAAAGAATTACAAATGTTATATCGGTGACAAATGTGTATCCAAGCACACAAATTTGTTGAATTTTTCAAAAATATAAATATAGTTGAATATTTTTAAGTTCAAAAGCATATATGATTTTTTAAAAGAAAAAATTATATATATATATATATATATATATATATATATATACTTTTTCCTGTTAACCTCTAAAGCCTTGCTCCTTTTGCGGATTTGTGTTCATCTTCTTCCACACTCAACAAAGAGGAAACAAACCGTATTCGGGTTTTTTGGTTCAGACTCGGTTGTACGCAACAGACTTGCTGAAGAGCTTGCGGATGTAGAGAACTTGAAGGGCACTCGCTGCAGCCAGAATATATATATATATCAATAGGTGTATTTTGTGGGGATGTAGGGTTTACGAAAACGGTTACGTTTGGTGGGTCGTCGTAAGAGCGGCAGTGACTTGCCATTGTGGGGCTGATTATGTAAGGCCGCGATTAATGGTCCCCCTTTGCAGATTTCTCTTTTTTTTTTTAAAAAAAAAATAGAACACAATTTATGCTTATAATAAAACACATTTTAACATTTCGGATTTTGATTCGTACAATGTTTTTAGACAATCCGTAATTTATATTAATTCCGATTCATTAATTTTTTCAAAGTTGATTTTATTGAAAATTAATCATTTTTTATATTTTTTCGCAAAATTTAATTGAAATTGGAGTAATATGGTTTAAACTTTAAAGAAAGTGGTATGGACTAGAGGGGCCAAAAGGGACAGACAGGGTTCATGGGTATATGAACTTCCACTTCACTGAATCAGACATTTATAAATCATAAATCTCTTATTCTCAGCTTCATGTTGATCAAATATAGCTACATAGATCCCAGTTTGGAAGAGGGTTTCGCCAAAAACCGAGGGTTCAAACCCGATAACCCGAAGAAAAGCCGGGTAAAATGAGGGAAAAAAAACGAAAAAATCGTATTGAAAAACTTGGTTTACCAGAACAAGCTTTAGATCTATTGAGACCAGCTCTGTACGCTCCTGACCCGAGGCATAGCCGATTCTTTCTTGGCCTCCGAGTCCACTTTGAACATTGCCTCGCAAACCTCGCCCGAACTGTCCACCCTCGGGACGGGTTTCAACTCGTTCAGAGGATGCTCGTAGCTCCTCGACCCTCCGGATGATGTGAAGAAGCATCCTGACAAAAACAGGGGATTCGAGCAAAAGGTGAATCCTTTGATTCATTATAAACCGTAATAGGAAACCGGGGGTATTGAATAAACCTTTATTTCCCACAACCCTTCTTCACAGTCTCAACATCATCGGAGAGAACAAGATTGGCTTCAGCATCGGCTCCCCAGAAGAAGGGAACACTCCCGTCTTCGTCCTGAATACTCGCGTAGTTAAAGAGAGAGAACAATAACGAGATTTCGCGTCGAGCAGTTACGGTCTGAACAAATGCGAATACGCCAATATGTGAATTCAATAACGAGATTTCGATTTTCTATGCATATTTAACGGGCCCAGTACTGGAAATATTAAAAAAAAACACCCATTCAACGATCTGTGAACTGTGACAGAGGAAAAACATGTTGGCGATTTTTGACAAATCGGTGGCGAAGAGTCCTGAGGCTCTTCAGAGTCCGGAGTCTGGATCGATCTGCGCTTTCAAAGACTGGATTTTGACGGGACGCTTCGCCGCCGCTAACTCCGGCGCCGTCACCGTTAAGTTCGGAGCTTCAGGCGTCGTCTCCTATTCGCTCGACAAACAGAACCCTCTTCTTCCCAGGTACTTTATGATCAACTTCTGGTCTCTTTGGTCGGATTATTGCAGGAACCGATGGTGTTCTGTCTTGTATGTAAAAAGTTTGATCCCTTGTGCGATTGTTGTTTGATTACTCGCGAGAAAGTTTGGATCAGAGACGAAGATAAGATTTGAAGTTTCAGGGGTTTGATCGGATAACTATATTGGTGACATTTCCATGGTTTTCCAAGATGAACAAACGAGGATGATCATGGTCTAGACAATGAAGTTCTGTCTCTGTGTTTCCTTACGCACACTACTTCATTGCTTCTTCATCTCGGGTTATATCTCATTGATCATATCAGTTGATTAAATATGGTGAAATCGAAAAGGGAGGTGATGTCTGGTCTTTAGATAAACTTGCGTGATACATAGATTGCCCGCAGTGGTGGATGATATCTTCTGCCTGTTCCAAGGCCACATTGAGAATGTTGCCTTTCTCAAGCAACAATACGGTCTGAACAAGTCAGCAACCTAGGTGACCGTCGTTATTGAAGCTTACAGAACGCTTAGAGACCGAGGTCCATATCCTGCTGATCAAGTTGTTCGAGATCTTCACGGGAAGTTCGCCTTTATACTCTACGACTGCGCCACGAAGAATGTGTTCCTAGCCGGGGTATGTGGCATTTTCTTCTATTGTGTCCTTGCATCGATATATTACCTTTTGATGCTGAATTTCGGATACCTGGCTTGTGTTTGGATCTTGGATTTAGGTAACTGTGTATATTCAAAAATTATCTCAGGTACCTGATTTTTGGGTATCTGACCAAAAAAATTTGAAATCAGGTAATATCATGACGAGACTCGACACGTTAGAGTTTGTATTTGGATAACCCGAAAATCTCAGATACCTGACTTGTGTCCAACCACTATCACGTTTCCTCGGAAAGAAGTTGTGTTGTGTATGCCTTCTAACCTCTGCGTAGATGGGCGAGAGAGCAGCCATATGCATGCAGGTGCGAATTTGGTATTGAATCATATAATATATAGGCAAAGACCATGGATTTGAATTAAATTATTAAGATCTGCAACATAAAAGTATACTGTAAGCAGAAGAGAGAAAGTGTATAAAAAGAAATCCAGTAGCTGCACATTGAGTAAAAAAAAAGGGTCTTTTTCCTGTTAACCTCTAAAGCCTTGCTCCTTTTGCGGATTTGTGTTCATCTTCTTCCACACTCAACAAAGAGGAAACAAACCGTATTCGGGTTTTTTGGTTCAGACTCGGTTGTACGCAACAGACTTGCTGAAGAGCTTGCGGATGTAGAGAACTTGAAGGGCACTCGCTGCAGCCAGAAGAAGGTACTCTCCCACGGTGTAGAATATCACACGCTTTCTCGTGCTCTCATTTGCTGCACAAAAAGTGGTAAAAGGTAAAATCTAGGGCGATAGAATGAATGCGAAGAGATTTCACCAAAGTACAAGAAGCCGAGGACAGTCCACGAGAAATGTATATATTTGCACACCAAACTGACAATCACCAAGACTAATTTCAATGTTCAAAAGGGTATCAACGAAATTTGCGGGGTTTATTCACATTACGACTGAATTCACTAAACGCGATTATCTTGCATCTAAACATCCAGCCGAGAAAGGACAGTATATAAGCTGCAGTCAAACCTCAGATAGAAATAAACGAAAACGAAAAACACGAAGCCGATCAAAAAGCAAGTGTTGAAACATAATTTTGCTTCGTTCAGTATAGATTTACCAAATCTCAGCAACTTTTACGTGTCAAGATTAACAAGGCTGGAAAAGCGCAGGGATAAGAAAGTTCGATTAAGATGATTGAAGAAAGAAAAAGTAGAAAACTCACTATGACGGTGTCGGGCATCACGTGCTTTCAGATACTTCTGCTCAGAGATAACCGATTCCAAAGCCTCTCTCAGCTCGGCAATCTTAACGTTTATTGGGTCCAAATGTTCTGGCAAGCACAAAGGAAAAAGGGGAACATGGAATCAAGCAGCTTAACACAGTACCATCTAATATCCAAATAGCAAACATGAGAAACACATACCGAAGCAGCGATGTGTATATTAGAAATGGAACATATATAATTGTAATAAGAAAAATGCTCATTATAAAGGTTTGAACGAACCATCTTTGGCTATGTCGTGTTCATTGGGAATATGACCGACATGAATATAGAAGGAGACAGTTTCTGGTGAAGAGTAGGGGTTGTGGAAACAAAATTTGTACATTCCGCTTTTCGGGGCCTTGAACTCGAACTTATCCCCAGATGTTCCTTTCAAACTGTGTACGACATTCCCCGCAGGAGACGAGACCTAAATGAAATGCCAAAATCAAAATTACAATAAGGAAGCAGATAGCAAACGAGACTCTAAATCCAAGGCAGTTGCCGAAAGATAAACCGGTAAGGTAATCTCAACAAGGTTCATAACTTCAATCTCTGAGGGATGGAGACAAAGCTTTCGACCCCGTCATCTTGATGAAAAATTGTGACAAACACTGAGGTTAGAACTTAAATAGACTCTTTGGAAATCAAGAACCACCATTCAATTTCCAGTAGAACAAGTCACCACTGGATTGTGTTTCCACTTTTCAGTACAAAACTAAAACGCCATAACCAGAAAGATTGATGATAGACACCCATAGATTGATCAAGTGAAGCACAACCTTTAGCATCTGTCACTTCTCAGATAAATTAAATTCTTTTGTCCAAAACCAAAATTATCCCCAATTTCCGGGGAAAAAACCAAACAGGTTGTTCACCTTCAAAATGGATAAAAGCCCTAGAAACAATAATGCACAAAGTCTACCCTGATTCGCAGAAAACCCTAGATCGTAAAAGAACCCTATCTGGTTGGGAATGTCCGCGGAAATTAAACGAAACCAAATTGATTGTCTTTTTCAATAAAAGCATTCAAATTGGTCCGAAGCTGGTTGGGAATGTCCATGGAAATTAAACGAAACCAACTTCACCAACCGGAATTATCGTAGGGAGAACATCTCGCTCTAGATCAGAACAGACATCAACAAGATATCGAATCTCGGCTAACCTCAAAATCAAGACCGGGATGATCTGCACCCCAGAAGATATCATGGTCGACGACGACGAAGTTTCCCGACACAGTGTCGCCTTCGTAGAGAACGTACTCGTAGACGCATTCAACGTCGTTCACAGTCACCGACAGTGAAGAGATTCGTCCGATCGAAGACAGGAGTAACAAACCAACGAACAAAACCAGATGGGTCTTCGGATCTCTGCCAATTCTCGTCTCCATCTCCCTCGTCTTCGACCAAATTCTCCGTTTGTTTCTCGAGAAAATTTAACCGAGCAATACAGGGTACCTTTTATTACACTTGACAAACCGGAAATTGGTACATCGGGCCGGTTCGTTAAGATTTGGTCAACGGCTTTTTAGTCTAAACTCTGGAGCATTAAAAATGCTTAATACGTTTTCTAGGACTGGGCGAACGGTCGATTACGGGTTAATCGGTTATGGTTATTTTGGGTTCGGTTATTTCGGGTTATTAAAATTCATAATCAAACGGTTAATTAATTTTATTCGGTTCGGTTCGGTTCGGTTTCGATTCGGTTCGGTTCGGTTTTATCCATTTAAAACTATAACCAAATAAAGATTCGGTTCGGTTCGATTATAATATTTAAAAAATCAATTCATTTATAATTAAAAATATTCGAATAAAATATAATATAAAATATTATCATAATTATTTTAACATATAAAATAATAATATCTAAAATTATATTTTGATAGAAAACTATTAAATAAATAAATATCGACTTTAAAAACAATAATAACAATGATAAAATACGTATAAAATATAATAAAATAATGATTAAATCAATAATATAAATAATTATATATGTATAATATATATATATATAAATGAAGATATATAAACGGTTCGGTTCGGTTCGGATTCGGTTAATTCGGTTTATAAAAATTTATAACCAATAATAATTTTTAATAGGTTCGGTTCGGTTCGGTTTCGGTTATTTCGGGTTTTAAAAAATCTTAACCAAACGGTTATTTAATTTTATTCAGTTCGGATATATATATCGGTCGGTTCGATTAATAATCGAAATACCTGAACCGAATGTCCACCCCTAATGTTCCCCATGTTTTTTTGCTAAAAAGAAGAAAATCGATAAAGAGACGAAAATAACATAAACGGAAACGAAAATGTAAAGTTTTTAAAAAGTAAATGGTCAGAACCGCGAACCAGCCCGGTGGCCGACAAAATGGAAATTATATTAAAACAATTAAGAATTGGCCCATGCAGGTTAATATGTTCCCATGTTGAAGATACGTATGCAAAGGTTCCAAGAGAAGAAGAATGGCATCATCCTTGTGCACGACATGCATAACGTGACTCAAATGCATTTCGTGGTGGTCAATTGACTTTTGCTGTCACTACGAAGTCAAACACTTGATTAATGGAGGTGAATATTATGCCAAAAGAGCCGTTTGTAATCAATCTTGGAAGATTGGTTGCAATCACATGCAACTTGCCGTATTTACTTTTGGACGTAATTCATTTCCTTGTTATACATATTTTTTTTAATTTATTTCCTTATTTCTCTGTGCACTAGCCGTTGTATATGTTCCTATTTATAATCTTGTACATTCTTTTTCTAATTAAGAACATGAAAGGGACTTAGTCCCATTTTCACTATATACTCTCTCGACCATTTGATTCTCTTTATTTTTTGGTTATCAACTCCATTCTCATTCAAAAACATTCTAAATATCATAGAAATCTTCACCCCCAAACTTTTAAAAAATACTCGATTTAAAATTTAAATGGTGGTTGATCTATAAAATTTATATTCTTATTTATTAATGGATACATATCCCGAATTATATTAATTTAACTTATTTGAATATTGGATATTTTTTGTTGCATACAATTTTTTTTTTGTTTTTTTTTGTTTATTTATTTTCCGTATTTTATTGTTCAATAGATGTGTTAGAGGACGAAATCGGAGTGTAGACGCTGAAATTTGGGGGGAATGGTTTATGGAGCGATGCACCCCTAGGGCCTAGGCTGCGACGTCAGATCATGTCCGCAATGTGTTTTCTTAAATGTACTCTTTTGCCCTTAATCATTCCCTCTAATTTTAAAAATAAATTAATGAAGATTTCATAGGACAGCGAGGGTATTGTATTGGGCCTTGGGCTTTAATGTGATAATAAAAAAGTACAAGTTAAATTGATAAATGTTAAAAGTTTGGACCAAATTAAAGGTCTTTCTCGTTCGCCCGAGAAGAATAAAACGAAGAACAAAGGGACGAAAACCTAATTAGGTTTCACAATGGCGGAGAAGATAATGTCCGCGACGGAGCTCGATGTGATCCCACCGCCGAAGAAGATTCGGAAAGTGGATGGCGAAGACTGCGACAATTTGGAATCGGAGATGGATTCGGGAGGCGATGAGTTCCGGCCGCCGCCGGCGCCACCGACGGTTCGAACGGTGGACGACGAAGACATACCCGAAAGCGAAATCTCGGAATACTCATTCTCTTGCACAACGAAATACCACATGTTCGGAAACAGAATATTCCGCAACGACCTTTTACCGGAGGTACAGGAAGAGTATGAGCCCCAATTCCAGCGTTTTACCTACCTATTTTATCGGTCTCAGGTAATATTTTTAAATATTATGCGTGGAACCTTGTGCTTATATATATATATGTCTTACGTATGGATGAATTTCGTCTTAGATGTGGAGGATTCTGGTGCCGTAAATGGGATGGATACCGTTTGGTTGGTTCCTGCGTTTTTAGATTAACTGAGATGAAATTTTAGCTGTTTAACGGATTAATTTCGTGCAGGGTTTATCTGTTAAATGGGATGAATAATGTTGTACGGCCACTTAAACCATGTTTTCCTTTGGTCTTGTGTTTAGGGTTTCGAGATTAACTGGGATGAGTTCGATTTCATGTTTATTTCCCAATCTGTTGCGTGGTGCACAAGCCGTCTGGTGACCAAGATGAGCAACGACGAGCTGATTGAATATTTGACGCGCTATGCCATCGACAAACACAACAAGGAGTCGGAACAGAAAACGAACCTGGTGTACGTGGGGCCTGTCATGGCTAATTTCTTGTGTGCGGCAGGCTACGTGTTCTTCATAACATTCCGAGCGAGAGATCTGCTGTCTCCGGATCCCGAGCCCAAGCTCTATCAGACAAAGGTGCGCAAGTTTGCAGCTTTGATCGATGTTACGATTTTCAGACCACGGCCATCGGATGAAGGTATGGAGTAGTATTCTCCGTCCCATGTGGTGTTAGAATAGAAGTGTTCTGTCTTGTTGCCTAATGTTTTGTTTGAAGATGGTGATGCAGAGATGACTTGTGCCAAAGTGGATCCTCCCCCTCCCGACTCCCGCTCCATGACATGACGGGTGGTTGTTAATTGGCATAACCTTATGTGGGATTATAATGTTGGATATGATATGTTATATATATATATTATGAAAGATACTTGAGAATTGTCTGAAAACTGCTCTCCAGACGCCTTACCGCATCAGTTTCTATTTAATCTGGTTTTGGGATCTGACGTTTTTGCTGTTAGGTGTTTCTCTCGCTTTTGGTTTCATTGAATTTCTTCTTCTGTCTCTGCATCGAGCTTGTTGTTTGCTTGACAAGTTCATATCTTTGCGGATTGGTTCTTCCTGGGTTTCTGAGTTGTTCATTTCTCCCTCGGTTTTGTTTAATTAGTTCAGCTACTCCTAATCTTTAATTTCTAGGGTTTCAACCTAAATAAAGTGCTGTCTCCGGTTTACATTTATGATGATGACTCCGTTTGTAATAAACAAAAAAAAAATCAAATTTAATAAACCGGTTCGAATTGTCGGGTTAACTCTAAACCAAAGTTTGGTCTCTAACTTGGATACAGACGTTTCTTATGTGGATACAGACGTGATATTCCAGAAAAAATTTTCGCATGCCACGTCGGCACAATTCGATTTCGGAGGCGTAATACACAATGTCAACTTTTTTTTCTTCTGTTTTGCATCTGAATTGCAGCGAAATGTTGTTTCTGCCATAAAGAACCATTGAAGAGCAAATTCATCAAAACATTCAACTAATTTAAGAACATGAAAAAAAAATTACGTATTAACAGTTTAAAACTTTAAGTTACGTGTCATCCGGGTTTGGAACGCTAAATGCTTGACATTTTTTTCCAGTAAATTTTGATTCAGATTTAATACATCGAGCCGATTTCGATTTTAAAACCGGTTACATGTTTGCTGAAGTGGATATTTTTATTATGTGGCATGCCACGTCAATGTACATATGTTGGCATCCAAAATCCCTTTCTTTCCATACCATGCATAAAATTGCAATAAAAATTGTGATTAGTCGTGGGTAATTGGGAAATTTTGAATTCAAGTGCAGATTATTGTCAAAAGAAAAATTTGTGTATTGATTTTATACATTTGATTAAATCTATATGGTTGAAGTAATTTTCTCTAACAAATATGAAGTATTATTTTGGTATACGATCTTTTTCTAAAACAAACCGGTTTTATTTGTTTTCAGACAAATCAATTTATTTGTATTTCGACAAATCATGTTAATAACGTAATGAAAATTTTCTTTACTTGTTTTAAAACAAAATTGAATCTGAACCGATCAAACCAGTATCCTAAAATATTTAATTTTGAACTAACCAATCTAACCGGTTTATTTGAATCTTAAACCGATAAAATAGATCGATTTTTATTTTTTAATGATTGCTGACATGATGTGTTCATATGGATGGAGTATGCTCGGTTGGATAAATTGTTATCGATTTCATGAGTTTAATTGTTTTTATTGATATATTATAGTATTTCGTGTATTTATTTATTAAATTATTAGTTCAGATATTTATCTTGTATATTTAGAAAATTTGGGTACTTTTTTGAGATTTTTTCTTTATTATTGTAGTCTAATGACGGCTCTTAAATGTATTTTTTGCCTTTAATAATTTTGTCTGATTTTAAAAAATAAATTAATGAAGATTTCGTAAGTGAGGAACAGGATGTTCTTATTGGGCCTTAGGCCGATATTCATATTTATGGGCCTTTAACAGATTCATATTATGAGCTTTAGCCCGTTTTCCTGCTATGGGTCATTTTTATGGTTCAAATGCATGTAAGAGGGTCAATTGGTCATTGTCCCTGAGCTTGTTTTATGAGCAAACCTACACGACCATGTCCAAAAGCTAATTAATAATTATGCTAATAAACAATTCATTCTCGCTCTATTAACAAATAGTTAATAAAAATCTAAGCTGGAAGAATGTTTTGCCAAA